GAACAACACAAAATCTTGATTTTTATTTCGAAGTAATAGTAAAAGCAAGACAAGCTGATGCAGAAATAGAAAGAAGGAAAAAAGAAAACCAATCAAATCCACCTATTCTATCAGTTCTAGTCGAAGAACTAAACATAATACAAGATCTACAAGAAATAAAAAAAGAGAAAAAAAAATCTTTGGGACGAAAGTTGAAATCTTTCACAAAATATTTTCGATTCAAGAAGAAACAAAATTAATGATTGCAAGCGTCATCAAGCTTTCATACTTTTTTCTGAACAATTTTATGTGTATCTAAAAGCTGTGTTTGCACAAGAACATGCCGTGAACCAATGACTGAGCTGAAACCTATTAGGTAAAAAAAGTGTTATGGTTGCAACGTCAAAGAAGAAAGTTATTTGAAGAAAGAAATTGTAATTTGAGAGAAGAAATGATGAAAAAGAAAAGAAAGTAAAGAACATATATGAGGTTTGAAGATAAATTGATTTTAAAGAAGACAGAAAATTTAAAGAGAAAGAGAAATGTTTGAGAAAAAGTATTGGAAGAGAAGAAAATGAGTGAATGGATGATTAAAAGTGAATTGGATTAAAAGATTTTGAAGAAAAAGAAGAGATTAAGAGAGAGAGATTAAGAGATTAAGTGCGTTTAATGAAGAAGAGGAAAAAAAAGGAGAGATTTGGAGAGAAATGCGATGGATTGAGTCAAGTGTCTTTAAAAAAACAGAGCGAAATACTGGGCCATGCATACGCCGGAATCAAAATTTATCTGGATATTCTATGACAGCATAAAAAACTCAAATTTAATTTTATAGGTATTTATTACCTAGCTTTTTTTAACAGGTAGTAATGTACCTGACTTTTTTAATGTATTCGCACAGAAGAACTTCATAAGGGCAACAGATTTAGGTACATCTTTACCTATGTCTTGAGGTATTTAATTACCTTTTAAAAGAAAGTTTTTGTAATAAGAAGGAAAAAAACAACAACTAGTGCATGATGAATTATTCAGCTCCACTTGACTCACTGTTTAGAGAAAGAAACATCAAACATCAGGGATAGAAAGTTAAAATTTATACAGATTGAAGAAAAATCAGGTCTGGATGAATAAGATTCGTTGAGATAGCAGAAACATCAGGAATGTATAAATAAATCTCGTTTAGATTGGAAAAACATCAGGAAAAGAGAATTTAAACTGGCACAGATTGAGGAAAAATCATGTATAGATCAGTAATACTCGTTGAGATTGAAGAACCCTCCGAAAAAAGATCAAGACTGGTAAATCATGAATTGAGAAGTAAGACTCGTTCAGATTGGTGAAACATCAGGAATAGAGAATTAAAATTGGCACAGATTAGAGAAACATCTTGAATGGATAAATAAGACTCGTTGAGAATGAAGAAACCTCAGAAAGTAACATCAGGACTGATTCATCGTGAACTGATAAATAAGACTCGTTAAGTTTGGGAAAACATCAAGAAGAGAGAATTAAATCTAGTAGTTATTAAAGAAACATCTTGAATGGATAAATAATGCTCGTTGAGATTGAAGAAACTTCAATAAGAAACATCAGGAGTGGTAACGATTGAGGGCGTTTAAAAAGACATCGAATGCTTTGAGTTCTGGTCGCAAATGCGAAGAAAATTGTCACCGTGTGTTAGTAGAGAAAGAAAATATATTTTGTGCTCCAGCTAAAATCCATTAAAAAATCATATAATGAAAATGCTACAAAAAAAGTAAAAAAGAAAATTGTCCTTTGAGTTGAAAACTGTCTCGTGTCTCGGAAGAAAAAAAACAAATAAGAATAAAAAAAGAAAAAGAAGTCTTATAAAAACAAAGATTTTTATCAAAGAAGCAAAATAAGAACTTGAATTTTAGTTTAGATCAGATTTAGATTATTCCATATGCTACATTTGATTATTCACATATTTATGCTAGATGAAATTTTACAGTTCAAATATGTCATTTAATTTTTAGGCTTAAATAAACAACTTCAAAATTCTCTGTGAATAATTTTATTTAATCATTGTTTTAGTCATTGGCTTATGCAACATATTGCAGAAGCAAAATAATTTATTTTTATCAATGTTGATACCGCCGCGCAGTTATTTTAATCGAAAGAAAGCTGGCCAAAAATATAAGCTTTTCGATAAAACTGTAAATTGTATCATTTTTAGGGATTTGGAAGGTCACGCATGCAAAGTCAGAATTGTGAAAATCATTGTGGTTAATCGAATATATAGTTGGATAATAAATTTTTTGTTGCTGCCAATTTTATAATTTTCTATCATTCTAATTTTTCTGAAGTAACTTCCCTAAGTTGTAATTATTTGTGTTTAATTTTTCCGATTGATATTATAAATATAGCTGCTTGTATATTAGTCTGATTTTTACTAACATGGGGAAAATTGTTTTTCATCCAACATTTCACAGCATCTCCTAAAAAGGTACCATTTGCAGAAATGCCATTTTGCTCAGCTTTGTAAAAAATATTTTTCATTGGTAACACAATTTAATTTATTTTTCGTTTATTGTTTCTCATTTTAAGTAGTTTTAGCTATGACCCATCAAAAATTCAAAGTATTAATATATAAAATGCAACTTTATACAATGAGCGAAAAAAGTACAAGTACCACACGAAAAATCGCCGAATTTTGAAGTAAAAACAGGAGTGAAATTAAATTATTTCTTTCGTAAACTAATAAAAATTTCCAAATATAAACTTGTTTAGATTTACTTTTTAATTTTTAAATGCTAATGGCATTGGAATAAGAACATTGGTTTTTCTTCCCTAATTATAGAAAAATTTGCATTTTTTAAGATAGAAAATATGAATCAAGATTAAAAGATTGGTCTGTGAAAGAAATTTCGCACTCGTCGACTTTCATCGTGACATTTGAATGATGCCCAAAGGATTACATCTTTCAGATTCTGAAAAAAAGGAATATTGTTGCTTTTCGAGAATGTGGATTAAGTGGACGAGGAATATAAAAAAAGAATAAAGAGATCTAAAACAGTAGTTCATAATTCTCTAAAAATCCTGGAATGTGCAGCATGAAAAACGAACTGGCATCCTGGTAGTGAGCATCCCGGAATTTGATATATAACTAATATTTTGAAAGTTTATGATCAAAAAAATAATATTTAGACTTCACCTCCGATCCTATGAAAAAAAATACATTTTTCTCAAAAAATTGCACATTTTTTGCAATAAAATCTGAATGGTTGCTTGTAAAAACACAAATCTGAATTAATTTTGTAAATAATGTTTTTAATTTCATCTCTTATGTGTGGATTTTCTTTGTAAAATGAATAGACTAAAAGATACAAGTGTTCTATGATAATCCTCTCAGTAAAATAATTTTTTTTAAATCGTTGAGAAAATGTGTACAGTTCGTTAATTACCATAAAATAGTTCAAGTAAAATTGTTATCATAATTTTTTTGCTAGTACAGTAGAGTCCCGATTATCCGAGTTAATATGGACCACGACTAACTCTGATAATCGAAAAACTCGGTTAAAGAGAAGAGTATAAAAAAGGAAAGAAAAAGAGAAGGTATAAGTGTAATATATTTATCAAATACAAAATTTATATGAGTACACCACATACAATTCATATTATAATTAAAAAGTTTACTTAACACTAGATTGCCCAAGGAAGTCACTTTGACTGCTTTTAATTTCAATTAGAAAAACAATGATGTATATAATGACACAATTTCTTAGAATTTTGTGACTTTCATAATTATTTTTATTGTTGACATTTACTAATAACTTGTTATATAACTGTAAATAATAAGAAAAATATTAAAAATTAATTTTAAACAAATTTCTTTACACATTAGTTATTCTTTCACAATGCAGCCATTTTGACTGCTTTTGGGCAATATAGGTATGTCAGTCCTTCTAGTATTAAAAACACTTAAAGAACACTTTACGAGAATTAAAGAGTTTTTATTTAAAAAATTTCTTGATCTTCTTTTGCTTTACATAACTTTGGCGCTATTTTGCAGCAATGTAATGCCCTTTTTTTAGGGATAACAGGAAGGTTGGCATCACCTCTTCTTGTTGTTCAATATATATTCAGTAGCTCTTTCGATAGCTTTTAGTCCATCTGTGTGAGAGATTTTTATATATTGATTTTCATTGTCACTGTCTTCATCATCTTCGCTAGATTCATTTTCATTATTGACGATATTAACGATAATTTCATTAGTGATCGATCATTTCATCGATTTCGTTTCCTGGAGTGCTGGGAAGATAAAATTCAGATATTTTTTTCGGCGGTTGTTTTAAAAATAGAAAATAAACTAGAACAAAAATATCCTTGAAGTATCTGATAGTTCGGTTAAAGCGGAAACTCTGATAATCGGGACTCTACTATACTTCCCCTTATGACTTTCTTAAATGACTGCAGATCTAAGTATTCAATTGCCCACATAATTACATGGTGGCTACAAAATACTGTTACAAATATTGAATCACTTTATTGTACAGGTATTAAATAGAAAATGATAAATACACAAATATAATTCAGATCGATCCCCATTTTTATTAATTACAAAAGATAATATAAAGGAAGAATACATAATATTCAAAGAAAGAATATATAATATTTAATGTTACTTAGATATAAAAAGCAAAAAAAAAAATAAATTCCAAGTAAATACAAACTAATATTCAATAAAATTCACAGAAATCAACCATTAATTATATTTTAGCACATCAATCAATACTAGACTTGGTCCCAGAGTCAAAATAAATTGTAGTAAAATTATTTTAAAAAAAGGAATACATAATGTTATTTATAGTAACTTAGAGATAAAGAGAGTAAAAATGCATTTGAAGTTATAATCATAATCCTCATCAACCTCTTACCTCTAAAAACAGCTATGCCAGCTCCCAAAATCAAAATAGATCTAAGCATAAATTATTTTAAAACAATGGCAATTAATGTTATCCTTTGTAATTTAAATGTAAAGAGTAAAAAAAATTAATACTCACCCATTTTCTGGATACCATGTGGTAAATTACCAGGCAAAAAACGGTCAGGATTCATGACAAATTTTAAAATTGAAACAAGCTAGGCTAAAAAAAGAAAAAAAATGAATGTTAAAACCAAAATTGTAATTTTTGAAACTGAGTTTCAGTAGGTATTAAACATTAGCTTTGAACATATTTTTATAACCCTCATTGAACAGCTGACCTAATTTTTGGGTTTACAATTACTAATGTTCAACTCTATAGCCTTGTAATTTTGAACCCAATCCACAAGACAAGGGAACTCCTGGATCAAGTATTGGGAGAAATTTGCCATTTGCCTTCGCAGAGGACTTTTTGATAGAACTAACCCACATTTGCGTGACATGGAGAGGAAGACCACAAGAACCTCCCACGGTTAGCCTGACAGCAAAGGGACTCTAACCCATAATCCATCTAAAGTATAGTTCATGTCAGCACTGTGGTTGGTGCAATTTGGATTCGGATTTGTATCAACCAGTCATTGCTGAGATTTGAACCCAGTTCACCTTATTAGAAGGCGAACGCTCTATCCACTTAGCCTATCGCGGCCTTAGTTTTGTACACAACAAAATCAATTTCTACACCAAAATGGTTGAAAAGTTTTTAAACCATTAAGTGGATGCTATAAAGTAGGAGAAGCCCTTCATGGAAATTTTGTTTCATCTACATAAGTAATTTTAAGATATATAAAAAAGGGGATATCAGATAAACCGAAAGTAAACCATAACACTTTAAATGTTTTCAAAATATCAAAATGCAAATAAATTATGGTGGGATTACTTTCCAACTGTGTAATCATGAGAAACTCTACCATAATTTTTTTGTATTTTTAGATACTTTTCAACATATGAAACTTCATGATTTAATCTTGATTTATCTGAACTAAGTTTTTTCCCTACTTTAAATTACTAATATAGCAGAAGCAGGATTTATTATAAAGGGATTTTCAAAAGTGTAACAAAAAATCAAAATTTGACAAAAACTGTCGAAAACTTGGGCAATTTCTTTTTTTTTTTTTCATAGGAGATATTTCACTGCAAGTCAAGTTACATAGCTCTTTAAATCATGCAGAATACTTGCATTTTTATTTCTTTTATGAAGCTTCATATTATAGATCATGTATAAAAAATGAAGGCAAAATTGGTGAAACTATTAGCTGCTTTTTCAAAAAACAAGGCAACTTTAAACTTTAAGATTATTATTTGATATATAATAACTATTCAATTTATATTTCAGATAATAACTATGAGTTAATTTTTATCTAATTATTGATTTTAATTCTTTTTAGGCCACAATTTAAGCAGATTTCTTAGCATCAGTGCAACTAAAATGGTCATCAATAATTGTCTGATTTTAACTTGTGTAATACTTTTTGATTCACAATATTTGTTGTTGATACCTTGAACAAAAATTTTATCTATAAATCATGATCATAATACATTCCCTGATAAGTAAACTAATTATAATTTACCAAAAAAATTAATGTTTCCCTAATGTTAATGCCTTAATCAATTATTAATTTTTTTCAATCAATCAATTCAACAATTTATTGTGTTATTAGAAATATTTAGCACAGTTATTAGAATAAATTTCCAAATATATGTTTATCTTAGCATTTAAAATTTTCATTTTATTTGTGCAAGGCAATCAGCGGTCCAAATTCAATAATTAAAGAAAATAACAGATTAGAAAAACTTTGATTTTACATATTTTTATTTATAAATATTTAATATTTGTAAGAAATTATGATTTTCTGTATCAGAATTTTGGATTTTTGACAGCAACTGTCAAAAAAAAAAAGCTTTATTACAATTATAACAACTAATAGTTATTTTCTACACCAGAATTCTGTGTTTTTGTCCAGTGTCAGATTTATCATATGGCCTGATAGGCTCAAGCCTACTAGTAACCTTACGGTACAAATAACTTATTTTTGACTTTTCGTCTAGAATTGTCTAATAAAACTATGAATTAACAAATATTGTAATAAATATAAGCTCAAATTTACTAAAGCGTCATAATTAACTCATGTATAAAGATTTTAAAGTCACTTCTTAAATATACAACAAGTAAATGTTTTAAAAGATATAACCAGGGGGCACCTGGCAGTTCTGGGCCTAGGGTTCCCGCATTTCTAGATCAGGACCTGTTTTTAAACATTGTCAAAACCCAAACAAAACATAAATGTTGTAGCGGGGAATAAAGTAGCTAATAATATTTCTCAGGATTTTATAGCAATAAACAATGACAATTGGCAACTTTGGGCAATGACAACTTTTTACGAAATAATTTATTTTACTTTAGTTATAGTATCTTTTTAAAAAACTATTCATACAGAAATTAAATTACCTTAATTATTTAACACCTTCAATGAAATATGAAATTTGTTTACTTTATTTCGAAAAAGCTTATATCGTCTTTGACGGTCTTGTTTTGTGCAGTTTGTATCCCAAATAAATTTATTTATAATCTTTGGGTTTGAGAGTAATGAGTTTACAAGCCAGTCTCACTGAATGCGATTCGCGCACTGTCGATAACTGTCGAGAGAGAATGCAACCCTTATGCAAAATGTTCTATGTTCGAAATTTTCGATATACTCATCAACCCAGTCCTACATTTTCTCTGCGATAATCGTATTTGTAATTCGAAATTCAATAAGAATGGCCCTTTAGTAGTTATACGTAAGATAGTCATTCTTAGTGCATACAAAATATTTACGGATGCGAATTCTAATCATTCGCAAGCGTGGCCGTGCGTACAGTTAAAATGGATGCAATGAGATTAATGTTTCATAAATAAAATTATTTAATGATCCAGTTGTAGTTCATTCACGTCGCACTAGAGCTGCACAATGGGCTTTTGGCGACGGTCTGGGAAACATCCCGGAGGATGATCCGAAGACATGCCATCACAATTTTGATCCTCTGCGGAGGGGATGGCATCCCCGATTTGGTAGCCTGACGACCTGCGCGCGAAGTCGAGCACTTTACGGTAGCACAGTTTACAGTTTAACGAGGTCCAATACCGCACACCCTCGGTCCCTACGCAGACTGATCCAATTGGTCACCCACCCATCAGTCCACTACGGGACTTAGTGATCTAGAATTTATCCTCAAGGATAACACGATTACAATACTAGCACATTACACATCCACAATTTTGAGTACTAGTGGAAGTACTTTACTTACGTCACACTAGAGCTACACATTAGGCTATATTAGTGACAGGGACTACTGTAAGGAGGTGGATAACATCCCTGATAATGATCCGGAGACAGGCCATAGCAATGGACAATTTGTCAAATTTTTATTTTGTGACGTAGCAAAGAAACTATTAACCGATACCGAGCTTAGAACATTAACGAAAACAAGTGTGAACAGAATCTTTAACGAGGAAGGTTAAATCATTCACGTTGCCGGACACAATTGAAAAGAGGTGAAAACGATTACTATTGGGTTGATGCGCAAGTTCTCGCGTTTTTTTTAATTTTAAAAATTTGCGTTGAAAATGAAATGTATTCGCATAACCTTTTGTGCCATTCGAAAGAGAATTTTTCGCTCTATAAAATAATGTATTTCACTTTTTTGTTAACTTTAATTTGGTTACTTTTTACAGCATTTAAATGATGTGTCAAGTCGACAAAAACGAGCACTTCCGACACCACCTTCTCTTTGCGTTTAATCGAGGTGCCAAAACCACAGAAGCTGCTAGAGAAATTTGTACTGTGCAATTTCAAATGCTTTACGCTGCGTTTCGTTCAATAATGACGTCGAATTACGGGCTTGATTGGACGACTTTTTCGAGACGCTTCCGGGTGATTTCCACCCGAAGAGGCATCGAAAAACTCTTTGAACGTTGGGAGGAAGTAGTAAACAACAACGGAGAGTACATTATTGATTAAATTATTGTTATTTTACGTGAAAAAATAAAGTTATAAAAAAATTTAAAAGAAAAAACGCGGGAACTTATGCATCAACCCAATATAAACACCTTCAACTTTCATCGTGCAATCAAAGAGGTTTTGATATCTTAAATTCGGATTTTCATCATCGTAATCCTTCTTTTTTTCTTGATTGTATCACCCTTTATTTAATTTTTGGCAAGGATTGTGAATATATATATTAAATCTAATCAAAGCATTATTCAGGGAGGAGGTTGAGGAACAAATGGGACTGCTGAGAGCCCGACCAAAATTTCTAACAAAAATCAGGTTTCATTAATTTTTTTTAACAACATTGCAGATAATTTCTATTTATCTGCATAAAAATTGAAAGTATGGTCTTCAAAAATTGTCTCTAAAAATTCTACAAAATATATCGTATTGTAAAATATGTATGAAAATGAGACTTTTTGTGCTGTGAGGAAAGGACCACAATAAATTTTGTCGCAGAGTCTTTAAAACCTTTGTTCTGCCTTGCCTTTGATTACGGATCCTGAATAAGTATGCAAATTTGTTCACGGATGTCCTTTATCTTGGTACTGTATAACCGAAATAGTGGAAAAGTAGTCTCCTGCAGTAATTGGGCTTTTTAATAAAATTACAAAGCCAAGTTAGGTAGGTAGCGGCGACTTTGTAAACATCACTGCGGATAATCCGAAGACATGCCATTGCAACTTCGATTCTCTGCAGAGGGGATGGCTCCCCTGTTTACAAAGCCGCTTTAGAAATGGATGAATGGTATAAGATTTATTAAAGTTTCACTGAAACATGTGATTACAAACAAGTAATCAAAAGCAGTCATGTTTTTAAATAAGTTAACATTCAAATAAATTTGTCTGTCAAACATTTAAAAATATATTTTATTGCTATTTTTTTAAAAAAAAAATAGTAGTAGCGTAGCAAAGGTTTGCAATCCAAGTTTTGTCTTCTCAGACCATTCCAGCTTCTTTCCATGTTATTTTAGCTTTGTATGAAGATATCATGTCTTCGCCATCAAACTGTAAAAAAGAAGAAAAAAAAATATTAAGTCGATTTGCATAAGCTATAAATTTAAAAGTTTATTTCTGTTTATTTACTTTGAATAGTTTGTTAAAAAATTATAAAAGCTTTAAGTTCATAGAAAGGAGTGCAATAACAGAACTGTAAGCAGAAAAAAAAATCGACTTGACTAATTTTTATTCTAATTGCCGGATTTTCATGCACTAAAAGGAAAACCTTAATGATTCAATGACTTGATTTCAAATATGCTATTTAATAATTTAAATATGCTTTTTTTTGACTGATTTTGACTTTTGACTGTCAACACATAAGCTATAAATTTAAAAGTTTATTTCTGTTTATTTAACATAAAGGGTAGCCGCAATATGGAAAATTTTGTGTCGTTTCACCTTACCGAATAAGTTTCACAATTGACTATCTAAATCGAGTCATTTTCGTCTTTCCAATAGTGAGATGACCCTTTCATACTTCTTAGACATAAATTACGTTTTCATAAATCATATAAATTTTCTGGTGTGTTTTGGGCATTATTTCGAGGACTTACAACTTTCACAAAAGGACTTTTATATTTTCCCCTTGCTTTCAAAAGATCACTTTTTTATCAACCACCAAGCAAGTAGAAAACCTTGCTTATCAAGAGATTCTCGAACAGAGCTCGACCATGATTCAGCGAAGAAAAGCTGCTGGCCAAAAAGCTTTAAAACAAAGAGAAAGAATCGTCGCGGAACATAATACTATATGATTATGCAATATCGAATATGAAAGAAGATTTACGGAAAATCGAATCGTTACCAAACTTAAAAGTTTTGATTCATCTGGCAACTTGGTAAGACTCCCCAGGAGCGGAATTTACGAATCCAAATTTGCTCGTGATCTCAACGAAGTCTGACAGAGATTTATTTTGTAAAAATTCAGTTTAATCTAACAAGCATTAAGCAATTATAAGGTCCTTGAATATTATACAGAAAAACATAATATTGTTTAAATTCAATGTGAATTCTATACAATGACTCGTAAAAAAAAAGAAAAAAAAGAAATTGAATAATTCTCCATATTGTTATACTTGTAATTAAGTAGCAGAAGAAAAAAATAAATCTTTACTTTATGTTCTTTGCTGTGTTCATTCTATTCAGATTTTTAATTTTTATTCGAAACAAATTTACAAATGTTTTATAAAAGAGATTCAAGCAATTTTTCCTCATTCGTTTGTTCGATTTTTAAAAAGAATAAAGAAAACTAAGATAAAAAATAATCTGCAATGTAATGTAATCTGCTGTAATGATCTGCTGTGATCATATATGGCAGTACTTTTACTTTCGTTACTTGTACCGCCGGTACAAGTAAAAAGTACGTACTTTTACTTGTACTTCGTTACTTTTTAAATTTAGTACTTTNCCCCCTTTTTCATAAAAATTAAAATAATTATGTTTTAAATAAAATTAAATATTTATTTAAGGAGTGTGTAGGAAAAAGTCAAATTTAAATTTGGTGTATGCTTATAGTGTACGTACTTTGTATAATACCACCCCCTCCCCATCGTACAAAACCGTTCAAAATAGCGAATCCCCTCCCCCCCCCTTCGGGATGTACGTACTTTTTGAACGGCCCCTAAGATAAAAAGTAATCTGCAATGTAATGTAATCTGCTGTGCTGAAGGGTTCCTACTACCTGGTTCATTATCATGAAGATTTGCTCAACTAGTTCAACGAATTAAATGTCTCGTTATTCACCAAGATTGTACAAATAAGTAAATAAATAAAAATAAAATAAATAAATTAATTAATTGAATAATAGATAATAAATATTTGCTGATTTTTATACAATGTAATTGCTGTAATGCTATACAATAAATACAATGTAATACGATATATATTTACTTTATTTAGTGCAAATGCTGAAAACTTAAATATGAGACTCCTCGTTGTTTATTAAATAAGTGCCCATGGTCCTTTTTCTAGGTATGGTTTGAGTAGAACAATTTGAACTCATAAGAATTCGCTTTTTCTCTTTTGTATTTTCTTTCTTTCAAAAATTGTAATTGTAAATGTAATATTAAGCTGCAGGTATCAAACGTTTTATTATTAATTTAGCCTTCTTTTTTTTTTTACTTGATTAGAAAATGGTTTTCTCACATTGTCCAAAAAAAAAAAGCTGTTTAATTTGATAAATATTTTAATTATTAATTTATTTGCATTAACAGATATTTTAGAAATACAATTGCAGGAATATATCTCTTCTTTTTTCTTTTTTTCTTCTTTTTTTTCCTTTTCTTTTCTCTTTTTTCTTAAAATTTGTAAAACCATTTAAATTTTTAAATTTTTTTGTATGTAAATTATTTTAATGATGAATTTTTTTTACAGATTTTCTAATTGATTTTACATTAACTAAAATAAATGCATGAAAAATGACTGTAAAAATTTGGTTTCCAACATTAATGGGTTAAAAAATATAAGTGTTAAAAAGCTCATAGGCCACACACTTACGCTACTGTCTTTCTTTTCCTTCATTTTAATTTGAAATGGAGGCTTTGATGCTTCATGACTTTCCTTTGATATTTCTGAAGATTCCGATGATATTGACTTTTCTTCAGCTGATTTTTCTTCTTCTGAAGGTTTTTCAGCACTCATGTGTTGAGCGCTGTTGAATGGATTTTTTTCAGTAGGTTTCTCTTCGGACTCTGGTTTGCTATTGGGAAGAAGTCGAATGGTTAGAGCTTGTCTGTCAATAGTCGGGTTTTTTTCGATAACCTCAGTCTTTTCATAAGTTTCAGGTGTACTTGTGGTGGCCAGCTCTTTAATTATTGGCCTCATCATCGGCTCTCCCAATGTCATGATTGATTCAAGAGAGTCCAAAACCTGACGAATGTCTGGTCGAGCGGGTTTATTCAACGCTTTAAGACTTTGAATAACCTGTAAATAAACGAAAAGAAGAAAAAAAAGCAGTGATTTAAGTTTAAAGGTCGATGTTTTCAAGAATAAGCAATGTGATTACAATCATCTACAAACTGTTTATGTATATAGCATATAACTAATACAATAAAGACACAAAGGATAAAATAAAAGAGATTAATGAAGAAAATTAATAATAAGTCTTATTTACTGCGTATAAGTTTCAAGTATATAGAATTCATAAGATAAGTCCAAAATATAGAGAAAACATAGGAAAAATATAAAGATTTATGAAAAGAAAAGAAGAAAAATTATTAAAATTAAATATTTTAAAAAAATATTTAAGATTTTTGAAAGAAAATTGAAAGTAAAATAACGGAAAGTAAAATAAGAAAAGATTTAATGTTGTCATTAGCTCACACGATTACATCGGCAAAAAAGAGTGCTTTCTAATGTTGTTGCTGTCGTCTGCCATTAAAACAGAGAGGGTGCGATTGTTCTTGTTTTCCATTGGTGCCATCTATGGCCAAGAATTCGAATTCTGCCACACCCATACGTCACACCCGTTTTATAGGGTGGACTCATTCACACATCTATTCATCCACAGACCGTAATTTTGACCAGAACCAGAGAAGATCAATCTCCAGATTAAGTACCCCCCAGAGGTATAAAAAGTGTAATGTGAACATAGAGGACTTTGTGACCTGACAAATTTAAAATGCACCAGTCACCATTTAATACACGGGGAGTCTTCAGCCTGTTAGATTCGAACTACCATTCTCAATAACGTGAATCCAGCGCCCTGCGAACTAGGCTACCCCAGCCCAGTATTTTTTAATATTGTATTAATATTGTCAAAGCAAAATATATTAATACAATAGCGTGAAGGGCACCCCAAAAAATTGAAATGAAAATCGGACGTATTAAGTCAAAAATACTAAAACATATGAAGCAAAAAAATAGAAAATAAAATGCAATAAAAATGCAGAATAAAATACAAAATGTAATCTATAAAACGAGTAGTGAATTGAAATATACTTGCACCGGCATCGTTCAAAAATGATTTAAAATATCTTCGTCACAAGTTTGCCAGATTACAAAATATAAAAATAGAAGCTTAAATAGAAGACAAAGGGATCATTTTGTGGCTCATTCTTACTAAAGTACAGAAGCTCGTTTGATTTGTTAGTTTCCTTGGATTGACTCTAAACTGGATGTGAGTAAAATAATAATACTATACTGTATAATTCAAAGTTAACAATTAATAAGGTTGAATTTTAATTATACAATTTTAATAATTTCAGAGAAATTATTAATATTTATTGAAAAAAAATTATTAAAAAAATATTTATTAAATATTAGAAGATTTTTAGCTACGAATTTACCCGAATTGGATTTGCACTTGGTAAAAATAGAAATTTAGTTGACAAAGAAATTTTTAATATATTTATTAATAATTATAACATACAATTAACGCAATGATTTTGTATAGAATTTCATTACATTAGTTGGATATCCATAGTTTTTTTATTTTTATTAAAATTTGGAATAGTTTTTCTATTTGTTTTTTGGATAAATAAGCAAAGTCTTTTAATTCTATTCATTTGATTAAGTATGGTATTTAAATAAATGTTTTTCAAAACATTAGAATTCCATGTAATTACCTTATTTTATTAAATTTTATTTTTATCTTTAAAGTTACCTGTCTTAAATACTACTACAAAATTTTTTTTCCTAACCTGTTAGTTCAATTTCTGACTATCAACATACAATCATTAATGATAAAATAGTTGCGAGCATGATTTATTTGGGGTGCGGATAAAAAGTAGTTGTTTTTCAATACATTTATAAATATAATTTGTAAAGTTCTTTTTACAGTAACATAATCTAATTACGTAATTATGACGTACTTCTTACTCTCTCTTTCTCATTATAAATTGTTATTAAGAAAAATATTATCTCTACTCTATTTTAATATTAAAAAAAATTAGTAAAATACTTTTTCGACGTCTGTATTGATATTTCCATTTCCTTTTTCAAGTTTGACTCTTGCATAATCGAGGCGACTCATGGCATCATCAATGATTCTTTTAGATTCCGCTATCTTTACCTTCTCGGAAATACCATCTATCCTATAAGGAGTTTATATAAAAAAAAAAGAAATTAAAGAAAGCAAATCTAATATTTGAGAGTAAGTTGACCTCGAAAAATTCGAAGCAAAACATGTCATTAGAAGCATGACCCGAAAAATTAGAAGCAAAAAAGCTAGTTAGATGAAATTCAAATATCGGTATGGGTACTTGCCTGCCTTAAAAAAACAAACAAAAGATTTAATGTATCGAAAATATATTGAACATTTAATATATTTGTTTAGATATTCTCTGAAGTGACACCATATTAACTCGTTCTTGCTGCACAAAATGAGGCATAGTGGTGGTTATAACCAGGGCTAAAGCTACGATTTTTCTCCTCATGACGTCACTGTGTCCACAGATCTCAGAGATCGCAAGCAAAGATATTATGATAACTTTGAATCTTTCTCTTTGTAAAAATATGTTTAGACTTCTTCTGGTTATTAGCTTTCAAACTTTACGTAATTAACACATTATTTCCGTTCATAAACATAGTACTTTTACCTAATT